ATTACCTGGCATAATTAGAAGGAAAGCATTGATGCGAGCTTTCGAATCGTCACCCAATAAGAATCCGTACTATCTGCAAGGACTTGCAGCTGCTGGCATAGTACCGACAACAGCTCGTGAAACAAATCCAAATGCAGACGGATATAGCATACCTTTAGGTTCATCCTATCCTGAGGCTGAATCAAATGTCGTGTGCGAATCTACGCCCAATATTCTTGACCTCGAAGGACTAGTCCCCGAAATGATTAAGCATCCCAACATTATTCTTTCAGGATTGTATTCCAAACAATACAAGTCAAACTCTATGCCAGGCATAGTTACAAATGACGAATTGATGCCAGTTTTAGAATCTTCACTCAGCAGGAATCCTTACTATCTGCAAGGATCTTCATCTGATGGTATAGCAACAACAACAGTTCTCGGAAAAAATCCAAATGTAGAGGGATTTAGCACGCCTTATGGTTTATCCTATCCTGAGGCTGGATCAAATGTCGTGTGCGAATCTACGCCAAAAATTCTAGGGCTCGAAAGACTAGTCCCCAAAATCATTAAATATCCAAAAAATTTGCTTTTAGGATTGTCTTCCAAATGTCTAAATAAAGTATTTTGTGAATAAGGTATAGAAATCAATAAAAGTTTAGATTAAATTTCTTAATGAATCTATAATGTAGATAAAAATGTGTAAAACTATATCTATTAAAAGTTAACAAAGAATCTATTCCATTATCACAACAATGTTAATAAAACAAATTTATTAATAATTAATTCTCAATTTTGTTTATAATTGAATTTGAGTTGTAATTTTATTCATTATGTAGTAGAATTAAATAAAAAAATAGTATAATTTTTGTTCAATGCAGATAATTGAAAGTATTTTTTTATTTGACCACTGGTTTGGAAAAAACTCTGTCCTGTCAAACACTATCAAGAAACCCAGCGGAAATTTAGTATTCCAGTAAATATTAAAAATCATTTTCTTGTAATTTTACAGTTAAAATGGGTTCACTTGATGGTAAGTGAATACAGCAACGCATGTGCTCCTATAACTAACTTCATGCAAAGCAGTTTTTACCCATGAGAATGCCACTCAAATTTTAACTGCCCCATTGTAGCAGAAATGTTCGAGAAGGTCTTTGCAGCTTAAATGGACTAATATATCTGATAAAAATACACAAATCAGAACATTAGGGGATATTTCACCCTTATTAGCTATCGTATACTATTTAGAATTCTGTAGCATATTTTTAAAAATACTGGCTAATAAAAAAAATTAAATTCAATTTTATCCTGATACCAGTGAACGCAAATATTATGCTTTATCTCTTAAAATAAAATTAATAAAAAAAATGAAACAGGCCGTTAAATTAAATTGATAACCAGATGAAAACCAAAACAAGTCTCACTTTTAAAATATAAAGCAAGTACGAATAGAATAATGTTCAGAAAACAGACACTAGGTTAAAATACAAGACCGTGACATGTCCATTCCATTGTCCATCAGGTAGTGTTCTGAACGTCTGGTAAGTTTAATAAACAACTTTGTGGATAAAGTAACAGTCACAAACATCACTGTCAAAATACAAACAAATGAAAAGTAAAAGAAAAAAATTCACAATGAAGTTTCTGTTATATATTTATATTCTTAAATATTCATTATTACATTAAAAATTTTAATTTCATACGACAACGGAATAGCCAGACATCATGATATTGTAAAGTTGCAGTTATAGCTTCAAATGAGTTTGAATTAACCGGATTCCATTTTAGGCCTGTGAAGTGATTACGTATTTGTAGCCTTGCTGGGCTTTATTTAAGTACCTACTTAAATAAAGCCCAGCACGGCTTAGGATTTAATAAACAGTACATCCTTCGTGTGTGTAATTTAACGAGATTTTAGGCAAATAAATCATACAAAATAAAATTAATTTTCGATCTCCTTCGCATATTGTAAATCTAGAGGCTTATGGAAATCAGTTTTGGCCTCACATAATGGTCACGTAGCTTAACGATCTACAAAATTAACGTGTTTGGTAGGACGTTGTTAATTCATATTCTTACTGTAGAGATTTCATTTATTTAGATAATATGCCTACATAATGTTACGCAACTTTAAAACCATGCCAGATCAGTCAGGGGCATACCTGCCATTGTTCTCTGTCCGTTCGTAAAGCCTCATCACAATCGGTTTAACCATTCCAATGATTAGTCCGGACATACAGTAGGACCGACAGTTTTTCTTAAATGATTATTCACATGTACGCAAATAGCCCCTTGAGCTACATAGAAGGCAGGAATTCGGATATTACAAACAGACACTTCACAACATATTTACTTTCGCTAAGGCTCCGGAAATTAGTCCGGTCTGCATAATTTGTATGCACAGTACATGCGTATTGGCAAGGCATATCTATTTATGTCCTATAATAATTATATTAATACAATGTAATGTTTTTAAGGTTTTAAATAATATTATCTGAAGTGAGTAGATAGAGTAAAATATCCAGACCGGCAACAGTGAGCAGCGTCAAGAATACGAGACCTAATAATCCTCTGAGAGAGCTTTTATTAAAATTCTCTCTCGCTTTTACTGACGGAAATTACTTCCTCCAGGAGAATTCCTGTTTTTCTTTTACTTCAAGTCTGATACTAAATGATTTAGCCCTATATAATAAATAACAAAAAAGCCTATGCACGTTCCACATCACCACTGTGACTGTTTTTAGCCGACTTCTAAAAATGAGGAGGATTTCAATTCTACTGTATGTTTTTTATTTAGTTTTTATCAAGCAATGGTGACAAACGAACACACAGTCCACCTGATCGTAAGTGGATGCTGTGACCCATATACTTCTACATCTATCCTCGTTTTTAAATCGATATGCAGATGCGTTGTCAGCCGTGGGTTCTAAAATGGATTCGCCTATTTTCCAGTATAAAGAGTCTTTGATTATTACTCGTACTCCTTTTGTGTTCAAACGTTTTATTTCTCAAATGTCTCTTGAACACCTAATGGTAAGTGGACTGTGTATCCACATTATAAAGCTATAACTTTAAGAAATTCAAAGTGAATTCGTAAATACGTTTAAAGTTATTATTCTGATGGTTTGTCCTCACTCTGTTTACATAATTGCACTTAATACCTTTTTATATACGATAAGGGTGACAAACGAGCGCACAGTCCACCTGATGGTAATTAATATCTGTGGCCCATAAACATCTACATCTATCCTCGTTTGCGAATCAAAATGCAGATGCGTTGTCACCCGTGAGGACTAAGATGGAATGCCTCTTTTCCAGTAAAAGGGGTCTCCGGTTCTCTACACTCACCATACAAAACACTGATGTGTTAAGCTGCTATTTTACGCTGGTATTTTGTGAGAACGTGGTCCTTCCCCGGTCGAGCCGACCCATTCGTGCTACAAATATACCCGAAATATAGCTGCAGCATGGCTCTACCACGTACAGATAAATATATAAACAAAATATATACAAATAATAATACCACAGTTTATTTTTAAAATGTGATAATACTAAGATTTCATATTGTTTACGTCCTTAGTTGCCACGACAAAGGTCGACCGTACCAGGGCCCATGAGTGGTAGTCGCGACGGGCAACAGAGGACGGGGCCCAATGGCCTATGGATAATTCTAAATTAATTGCAGATAAGCAAGCACAACTTACCGATTTCCGGAGGTAGGGTTGACCACAGGGTACCAGTCAGGTGGTAAGTGATATGCATGTAAGTAGTGTGTAAATGATGTAACCTGACATCCCCGATGTAGTCGGACCGCAGATCCACAGGCGCTGCTTTTCTCCAAATGTGCGATCCCTCTAAGGGGCGTTAACCAATTGAAACCTTCTGCTTTTATTTCACTGTATTAGTTTATCAACTTTATTGTACATTTAATTAACTTCAAATTTAACTAAATCCACGTTAATCGAAATCAAACCAGTGACACACGACACAAGTAACGAACAGTCGTTCAAAGTTCAATATTCAATGTTCCAGGTTCACTTAGCACAAAATCACAAACACTGGAACGAACGCGGCCTCTTCTCGTTTGCAAAAACTGGTTAATGAAACGAAAAATATTATCTCAATGTGAGATTTTGGAAGGCCTCTTAATAAAAATCGAGAATAATGAATAGTTTGTTTTATTTTCACCGTTTAACACATTTTTTAATTAATTAATGTACTTAAGTCACGTACGCTCCCTTCCTCCTTTCAAAAACTCCCACACCTTCTCCACGTCCCTCTCGCACCTCACGTCCTCCTTCTCACCCACTACGTTCCGTTTTCACTCTGTTCCCTTACATTCCATTCCTACATTTCGGTCATCCTGGATCTCATATCTTCCCCAGATATGCTCTTCTCCCTCTTTCATCATTCATTCATCTTACATCATACATTAACATCTATAGTGTCTAGCATCCTAACATTACAAAATAATCTATAACCATTGCCATGTTCATTTTCTGTTGGAGTAAACAGTTAAACTATGCATATCCTGCGATATACATCAGACTAAGTATACATTACATCTTTCATGGCACTTTAAAAAATTTAAACAATTACTGACACTAGTCAACAATGTAGATAGACTCTTTGCATTTCTACAACTAAGTAAACACATCCAATACAAGTATTAGATAATATGACATAACAGCATAAAATAAAAAGCTCGCACACTTGCTGAAAGTTACGAAAACTTATTTGCATCTTTACCACAACAAAAAGAAATTATACATCTTAGACTTAATATAACACTATAGTGCTCTGCGAGATCTGTTTATCTTTGACAATAAAAAAAATACATAATAATCTGAACCTTAAGATATCACATTATTACAGCTTTATGAGATCTGGTAATACTACATTGAGGGTTCCACCTTTAAAAAATAATAAGTATCAAGTTTACCTAGTATTAATAATTCAGTCTCAAACTTTCACACCTTGAAACAAACAAAAAAAAATTATGACCAAATATTTTTACTGTTTTACTCGCAGTCATCTTCTTCAGGCCATCTCTTCATGAACTCTGCAGATGTCGCTGTACTGTTCGGCCCCTCTGTGCCTTGATACAACTTTACAACGTCGTATCGGTCGTTGCGTTTCACCTTGACTATCTTATAGGGTCCGAAGAATTTCGCTTTCAGCTTGAGCCCTGGCCCAAACTGTGTCCTTTTAATTGCGACCAGATCTCCCACCTCATACTGAGAGCTCTGCTTCCTCTTTTTATTGTAGGTATTTCTATTTTCTTCCTGTATCTTTTGAATTTGGTCTCTGGCCTTCTGCCGTAAACTTTCTCTGCTTTCACTGTATTGCGCTATAGTTTCCTGTAGTAACAAGTTTAATATCTCTACGTCCTCCTTGCAATTCATCTTGGTTCCAGTGAGCAGTTGGAACGGTGTGGTGTCTATGCTTCTCTGGTAAGTACTGTTGATTGCTCTTTGCACACGTCCAACATGTTTATACCATAGTGACTGGTCTTCGATGCACAGCTTCGTTAGTATGGGTATCATTATCCGATGAATCCACTCTACTTGGCCGTTTCCTCTTGGTATGCCGGTTGTAATGGTGACATGCTTTATAGCTTCCTCTTCGCAGTACTTCTTAAATGCTCCACTGGTAAAAGCTGTGCCTCTGTCTGTTATGATACGTACAGGGTTTCCAAACGTATCTTGGTATAACTGTAGCTTACTTATTACTTCTGCACTAGTCGTTGATTTTGTGGGGTACAGCCAAACAAATTTAGTAAATCCGTCCACTACTGTAAATATGTGATTGTACATCTTTCGTGTCTCAGTTAGCGGTCCGATGTGGTCCAGATGCAAAGTATGCAGCGGAGTCCCTTCTTTTCCAATAGGGTTTAAGTATCCCTCCTGTTTGCCTTCTTTTCGGGTTGCTAGCAGACACGGTATGCAACTGGTAATCACTCCTTCGATTTTTCTGTCCATATTCTTTATAAAATAATCTTTGCTTATTGCTTCTTTCATTTTCTTAATAGCAAAGTGACCATTGCTATGTACTTCCTTGATTACTTCTTTTTCCATTAGCTTGGTAACCACCAGTTGTCTCTGATCACCTTTGTAAAGCACTCCTTGTTCCACATAATAGTCATTATACTGGCCATTTGTCAAAATCAGCTGTTTTATAGCCTTGAGGTCTTCATCTCTTTCTTGCGCGTGGCTGATCTTCTCGTGCAATGTTACCACTGCAGCTACATATGGGATTCTGCTGAGCGCATCTGCGTGTGGCATCCTGCATACCGCTCGATGTTCGACATCATAGTCATACTCGCTGAGAAGTAATACCCACCTGGCCACCTTTGGTGTTAGCTCCTTCTTCTTCGAGGTAAGCTCCAATGCCTCACAGTCTGTGACTATCTTAAAGTACCTGCCAAAGAGGTAGTGGTGAAACTTTTTCACACCTTCTATTACTGCGAGTGCCTCAAGCTCATAGCTTGAATAACAACTTTCAATGTCATTCGTCCTTCTGCTCCTGTAATATACAGGGTGCATTTCTCCTTCTTCATTCTTCTGCATGAGAATAGCGGCTAGAGCTATGCTAGATGCACCTGAATGAAGTTCTGTATGCAGCTTCTGGTCAAAAATCATCAGTACTGGTTCACTCGTTAGCTTCTGCTTCAAAATGTTGAACGCTTGTCGCTCTTCAGGCCCAAAAACAAACTTCACATCTTTCCTCATCAAAACTGTTAGCGGCCTCGCTATCTGTGCATAGCCTCTTATGTACTTTCTAAAATAGGAAGTCAGCCCGACAAAACTTTGGATCTGTTTGACATTTACAGGCTCGGGGTATTGTGCGACTGCTTCAATCTTATCCGGACTGGGTTGTACCTGCCCGTCTTTGACCAGATGTCCCAAGTATTCAATCTCGTGGTGTATCAACCTCGCCTTCTTCCAGTTGATTTCAAGCCCGTACTCAGCAGCCACCTCCAGCACTCGTCCTAATCTCTGTACAGCATCTTCCTTCGTCTGCGCTGGAATAACAATATCGTCTATGAATATCATCATAATACCTTCTTGTATCAAGTCTCTAAATATGATGGTGATGAACCTCATGAAGTACTTCAGCGATACGGAGAGACCAAATGGTGCTCTAAGAAATTCATGATGCGTGACAAACGATGTGAAGGGTATGGACTCCTTGCTCATTCTTAAATGGAAGAAACCATTTTTAAGATCTAGGACACTGAACACCTTAGCATCTTTCAACTTATCAATTAGGTCCTCGATCAATGGTAAGGGAAATTCATCCTTAACCATCTTCTTATTCAACTGCCTATAGTCAATGCATACTCTAGTTGAACCATCTTTTTTCTTTACAAGGACTACAGGACTAGTATATTCAGAGAAACTCACCTGAATAATTCCTTTTATTTTTATTTTATTTTATTTAATTAGATTACCAACGATTGTTACATTACTCAAATCTTAATTGCTAAAGCTTAGTATCTAGTACATAATGCACAATCACTTATAGGTAATCATCGCTTACACAATAAAACATTAAATAATAAGGCAAAAGACTAAAAGCTACATCTCTAAAATGGGTTTTTTGAATTTAGTGGTTGTCATACAATGTACGTCAAGGATTTGGTGATGGTCACAATATTTGTTATAAATATGGCACATTCTAGAGATCAGGGAATTCGATCCTAGTAGCGTCCTACGGAATGGGCATACTAGAGGCTTAATAGGAGCACGAGGTATTCTCCGCGGCACTCTAAAGCAAAATTTTGAGAGGAGTTCTGGAGAGCATATGTAGTTTCTAATAACTTTATAGAAGAACATTAGGTCAGTTATATCTCTTCGCTTGTCCAGTGATGTTAACTTAAAGTATTTTAAGGATTTAGAGTACGAATAGGGATTACTCACCTTGCCAACGGAGTACGATAAATGACGTATGAACCTTTCTTGAATCCGTTCAATCCTTAGACTATGAGTTGCAAAATGGGGACGCCATACTACACTACCGCATTCTAAAATTGAGCGCACTAGGCTGCAGTAGAGCAAAATTTTGGTTGCTGGTTTTCTGAAAAATTTTCCATTTCTTATTACGAAACCTAACATTTTTGATGCTCTCTTTGTAGCATGATCAATATGATTGACGAATGTTAGTTATTGATCCAAAAGAATACCCAAATCTTTGACCACATTTACCTCTTTGATCAGAATGCCTTCGATATGATAAGTAGTTGGAATAATTTTGGATTTCCTAGTAAATTTGATGTGCACACATTTATCTACGTTCAATTTCATGCAGTTTGTTGCACACCAAGCCACTAAGGAGTCGATATCGCTTTGCACAAGTGCAGCATTCTCAAGTGAACTAACGGCTATAGCCAATTTCAAGTCGTCAGCAAACATGTATGGTTTCGTAAATTTAAGACTAAGAGGAAGGTCATTAACGAAGATGTTGAATAATATCGGTGCGATGTGAGATCCTTGAGGCACACCTGAAGGGATGGGATGCAACTCTGATGCAAAGCCATTCACTACCACATAAAAATCTCGACCAGTAAGATAAGACTTAAGCCATTTTAAAAAAGAACCATGAAAACCATAAATTGATAGTTTCTTTAGAACGATATCATGAGAAACTCTATCGAACGCCTTGCTGAAGTCCGTGTAGATAACATCAATTTGTCTATTGCTATCCATCTGCTCAATTAATTCCTCAGTGAAGAGGACCAGATTAGAACAAGTTGATCTACCGTTCATAAAACCATGCTGGCAGGGTGATATGAACTTCAGAATGTGATTTTGTATGTACGGACAGACAAGTACTTCCAGTACTTTAGCTAAGGTAGATAAGATGGAGATTGGTCTGTAATTTGAGACTCTACAATTGTCACCATTTTTATGAATAGGCACAACTTTGGAAGATTTCCATATAGTTGGAAATATACCTGTTTGAAGTGAAATGTTAAAAATTTTGTAAAGTGGTTTCAGAAGATTGTTCGCACACTTTGAAATTCAATTGATGAACATTATCGTAGCCTGCTCCTTTAGAAATGTCCACACTCTGTAGCTTTTTTAAAATTAAATTGTGATCTAATTTTAAGGAAGAAAAGCATTCACTGTTTTTGCTAATTATGTTGAGATTAGCGTCAAAGTGTTCGCTTGTATTACTTTTATTTATGATTTGAGAATTACAGTATATGGAAGTGAGATAAGAGGCAAAGAGTTTGCAGATGTCCCTATCCTCTGTAAAACAAGCGGTACCGTCGGTCATAGACATAGGATAAGTACTAGAGCCCCCACGTTTGCTTTTTATATATGACCAGATATATTTAGGGTTTGTCTGGATGCGATTCTCGACTTCCGCGTGATAGGATTTGTAGCAAGATTTCATTAGGTTCCTACAACGTTCTGTAAGAAGATGATAAGAAATCAAGTCTAAGGGATTGTGATACTTTTTGTATTTTAGTCTGTACTTATTTTTTTCCCGTAGGCGATTAATTAGGTCCTTGGAGAACCATAATGGATATCTTTTATTCTTTACTCTAGTAACAGGTACATTCTTTATAATTACTTCTTTGATATTATTATAAAAATGTCTACCATCTGATCGATGTCTTCGACACCTGTGAAAAGTTCCACTACTACTAAAAGTTCCACAAGTAACCACTCGTCTACCTGATCCTCCACTATCTTCAGTTCCATCAGGGCAAGTCTTCTTGGGCGCTGCGCCACTAGGATGTCATCTTTAAGTATAATCTTGAGTTCGATAGGCGCCTCTTTCGTCTGGACTGGGTTATACTGCGTCACGAGCTGCTCCACCTCTGCCTTAATGCCATCGTCGTGGATGTGACCTGCAATATCAACTTCACTCACACAACAATTCACTCTCGTCAACCATTCCTCACCTTCAGGTAACAACAAGACGGAACCCTCGCGCATAACCATGACAACATTTCTTAGAAATTCCTGACCTAAAATCACTTTATAGGGCATACAGTCTTTAGGTACGATGTGAAAAATAACCCCGTCGTAACATCTTCCGTCGATCGAAACACTTTCGTAAAACTTTCCACACGATTTTATTTTTGACAGTCCGAGTCCCGCTAAAATCGTGTTATCGGCGTACTTGTCCACGTTCAGTTCATTATACACGTCACTTGCCATCAGATTAATTTGACTGCCCGTATCGATTAACGTGTCCATGTCCATTCCGCACAACTTAATTAATTTAACCGGCGTACTTTGTTGCTTTTCGTGTTTGTTTACATCTTGCCAGTCGTCGTTCTCGTTCGCCATTTTACAGCTATCATGGCTGCCCGCAGTGTCCGCTCTTCTATTGGCCGAAAGTCCGAACATGGCCGATTGTCGTTGCGCTTCCGCTGTACTCTGCTTTACCGACATTTGCTGCCTCCCTTTCTCCACCGGGCCGGTTACGCGATACTTGCGAAACTGCTTACCCGACAATTCGCCCATATTTGCAACGCCGCTGCTCTGCTCGTTCGGGCACTGTGTACCAATATGGCCGAACTTATTACACCGGAAGCATTTCGTTCCATTCGTACACGCTGTTGAAATATGACTTGGATCGCCGCACTTATAACATCTTTTATTATTATTAGGTTGCTGCCGACTTACTGAACCCGATGATGAAGTCGATAGATATGATATGGATGACTTTCTTTGTTTTTCAGGAACGATCTTCGTCTTCATTTTTTCATAACAAACGAGTTTTTCTTTTAACACTGAATATGATGTAATTCCATACAACATCATCTTGTTTACTTCTTGATCTACGATGCCGTCCACGTTGTACTGGATCGAGACGTAGTCTGGGAATTTAGCTCTTTTGCCCAGTTCCTTCATAATCAGCATATACTGATAACAAGTTTCGTCCCGCTGTTTCTTGCGCGACGCCATTAACTCGTGCATCTCTTTTGCGTTAAGTGACTCAGGGAATTCTTTCTGCAGTACTGTTTTGAGCTCTTCGAACGTCTTAAAAACTTTTTCTGATCGTAGCCACAGTTCAGCCGTGCCTGTCAAGGATCTTCTCGCTACTATTAATGTTTGCTGATTTGTCCAACTAAAAATCTCCTTATTGTCTTCGATGTCCTGAGCCCACTTTGTTGACGAATAAGTCTTGTCATCACCGCTAAACTTCGCGATGCTGTCCACCATGCTTGAAAAGCCTTCCGCCGCCATTTTTACGTCTTGTGAATCTTTTACAGCCTTTTCTTGCAGCGCGTCTTGAGCTGTAGTCTTCTTAACTTCGTTAACGTCGTTATTTTCTCCCATCGAAGAACCACCTTCTTATATTAATGTGCTGCACCGTCGCCGCCTTGTGCCGATACCGCTGCGCGCCGTGACCACGTACCGTCGTAACTTAAAATTCGATTATTTTGAGGCAATCCCACTTCTGACACCAAAATTATGTGAGATTTTGAAGGCCTCTTAATAAAAATCGAGAATAATGAATAGTTTGTTTTATTTTCACCGTTTAACACCTTTTATAATTAATTAATGCACTTAAGTCACGTACGCTCCCTTCCTCCTTTCAAAAAACTCCCACACCTTCTCCCTGTCCCTCTCGCACCTCACGTCCTCCTTCTCACCCACTTACGTTCCGTTTTCACTCCATTCCCTTACATTCCATTCCTACATCAATAGTAAATAGCAAAAAATGTGAAACAGACAAGTGACCGCTCCGTGGCGCAGTGGCTTAGTAATGAGTTGCAGCGCTAAGAGACGTGGGTTCGAATCCCGGACGTAACAAGTATTTGTAAGACCTACAAATAATTGTTCTGGGTCTGTTCTATGTATGTAAACTGTCCCTGCGATACAGAAGAAAATCCTAGTGTGGAAGTAACGTTTTTTTAAAAGAGAAGAAAAGAGACAACTAATGAAATTAAAATTTTTGTACAACCGACTTCAATACGAATACGCATTATTACGGATAATTCCAAAGTACAAGTCAGATCTTGATCAAATTTATATATGATGTTTAAATTATAAGCACCAGCTTTCAAATAAAATAGAATCATCACAATCGATTCACCTAGAAAAAAGTTCTGAGGTTACACACATTAAAAAAACAGTCGAATTTAGTACCTCCTCCTTTTTTAAAGTAGGTTAAAATGGTCAGTAGGTAAATTATCTGAGTTTCAAAGACGTTCACGTTGTTATAATATTAATTTTCCTCGATGTTGCATATTAACCTTCCTCACATTGAACAATAAAGTTTTGGCTTAGCAATGAGTTGCAACGCTGGGGTTCGAATCCTGCACGGAACAAATATTTGTATTTTTATATGTTTAGATGTTTGTCCTCGTGCAATTTATGTTTGTTAACTACCTCCACGATACAAGAGAAAATCCTAGTGTGTAGGTAACGTTTTTTTAACGAAATAAAAAAATATTTATACATTGCATAACACTTCGGTGTATTCTACTATATACCGCGTGCGCGCGTCTTCGCTTGCCGCAGCCGACTAACGTCATGCATACTTGGCCGCTCATACACACGTTCAAGTTTACATAACGCTGCAAGCTTGATCAAGTCGGCAGAATCGGAATTCAATTTCTTTCTTCTTCAAGTAGACTTGTCATGCACACCCATAGCCATACACCGTCAAGTTTACCGGACGCCGCTTCAAACGCGCTGCAAACTTGACGCTAGACTTGATCGTGTGTGGCTGCCATTAGGCCTCTTGTCACGTTACACTCAAAACAGACACTCAATTCGATGCGGTCTTAACTAGACCCAAATATTCAAGTGTAAATTCAAAACGCCGCGCACAAATAACCCAAATTTTCAAATCAAAACGCCGGCCGCGCGAAACCGGCCGCGCGCTACCAACCCAGCGGTCGCAAACAATACTAGTCGACAATGCCTCGGCGTTCAATACACTGTTGCTAGCCCACACGGCCGAAAGACGGGAAGCGGCGCACCCCCCCCCCCCCCCGGCTTTTACTTAACCTCAATACCTACGGGCGACGCGCGGCGCACCCCCCCCCCCTGGCTTTTACTTCACCTCAATACCTACGGGCGACGCGCGGCGCGCGCATCTTGATGCAAGTTTTTAAAATATTACGATATTGGCCTAAACACATATTATCATGGTATGAAAATAACGCAATATAAACTAGACCTAACTCGGACTATATATTACTTTTAATGCTCGACATATAACCACGTTTAATTGTTGTTGAAAATGATTACTAAGCAAATATTGTTTATTAAGGGTTATTACACTACTAAAGAGTACACGATCGATAATAACGCCTGGGAATGAGGTGATCATTTCCGTGATGGTTCTAAATGTTTTCATTGTTAATTTTACAATATAACATTGTACATAAATGTTCTAAAAACATCCCGCTGGGTTTCTCGCTGGTTCTTAACATTACAAGGTTTTTTAATCAGTGTTAAACTTAAGCGACTATAAATAAATATTCTAGTAATACATATATAATGAATAAAAATTATTCCATTTTTTCCACTCCAAACATAATCATCAAATATATGTTTTATTTAAACAACGAGTAAGTAAAATCATGTAGTTCCCGTTAAGTGCGCTATCAGAATCAGCATTCAAACTTTGTTTTTAATATCCAAGTCTACCTGATGTTAAGAAGATACTGTGTTCCATAGACAGCTCCATCTTTCTTCTAATTAGAATTAAAGTACAGATGCATCATAACCCTTTAGGACTAGGATGGAATACCTCGTTTCCAGTAAAAAGGGTCTCTGGTTCTCTACACGTTTTTTATAGAACTCAGTGACTACTACAATCTATGAACACCTGCATCCAACGTCAAACAAAGAAGGCTAGTGAAGTCGTTTACACCCGAAGTAAAATTCCCTGACTGGTGACAGGGAGCGGTGTCGAAGGGGCGACAAGTCTAGTGCTGCGATCACCGGTCTGCCTGGCAGGAGAAGCGACATATCGTCCAACTCCAGCTCTCGTATGTAGACGTTTCTATCACTCAAAACACCGAAAACGTCAACTATATGTTGCCGTATTTCAGTGTGTTTTTTAGGCTCTGTAACCTAATGGTAGCCAACGCTACCAACTTTACTAAGCCTCCGCTATCCGTCCGTCCGTTCGTCCGTCCGTCCGTCCTTCCGTCTGTCTATCAGCGGGCTGTATCTCATGATCCGTAATAGGTAGACAGTTGACATTTTCACAGAATGCGTATTTCTATTGCGCTATGACAACAAATAATAAAATATAAATAAATTAAAAATTAAAGAGGGCACCCTACTAGAAACGTGTTTTACGATTGTACGGAACCCTTCATGCGTGAGTCCGACTCACACCTGGGCGAATTTTTTTTCTCCGATTCTCTACATTGACGATACGAAATATTGCCTTTTTCTTCCACAAATCGCAGTGTGTGTTCTCCCAACTTACTATTGTCCAAACGGGAGATGTAGAGCTGTATGTTGGGCTCTACATTACGCAAAGTTGTATTTGTTTGTATATTGGTGGTTCCACGCTGGTTACCGATGAGTATCGACTGACGTCTCTTTTCAACAAGAGTGAACCCGTCATTATCGATCTTGTTTCGGGTCACCACAGGTACTGATTTTCTATCCACGTAACATACGGGAGCGAGGGAATAGAAAGTTCACTTGTGCTTGCGAATACACTCGGGCATTTCAATCATGTCCCACGCAGATGGCTAGCACACACATACACACACACACACACACACACACACACAGAAAGAGAGAGAGAGACAAACACACACACACGCACGCACGCACGCACGCACGCACGCACGCACGCACGCACGCACGCAAGCACGCAAACACGTACACGTACACGCACACTCACACGCACAAGCACACGCACGCACACGCACACGCACACGCACAAGCACACGCACGCACATGCACACGCACACGCACACGCACACGCACACGCACACGCACACGCACACGCACACGCACACGCACACGCACACGCACACGCACTCGCACACGCACACGCACACGCACACGCACACGCACACGAACACGCACACACACACACACACGCACACGCACACGCACACGCACACGCACAAGCACACGCACACGCACACGCACTCGCACACGCACACGCACACGCACACGCACCCGCACACGCATACGCACACGCACACGCACAAGCGCACGCACACGCACACGCACACGCACATCTACACGCACACGCACACGCACACGCACACGAACACGCACACGAACACGCACACGCACACGCACACGCACACAATAAAATAAAGCAATAGTTTTTAAATCCAGTATTGGACATACATGGGTCACACCGAGAATCAACAACTTGCATGCATTTCTAGCCGTGTTGACGGCGTAAGGGAACCTACTACCCACATCATCCCGTGGGTGTCGTAAAAGTTGACAGAGAGAAACGGACTCAGGGAATGGGCAACCCGCCTGCCAAGCATGGCAACTATGGAAAATATCCACTCTAACTATGATTTGAAAAAGATGGTAGAGTAGGGCAGTGGCTATGTAGGTCGCTGCTGCGCTGCGTGCCTTAGTTTTGCTTGCGCCCTACAGCGTAGATAGGGTCTCGCTGTCGATACTACATTGACTTTTTACGAAATAAAACTTAATCATGATGAGATGTCAAATATTATACATCTTATGTGACAACTGTAAGGTCGTTTTTTATTAAATGCGAAAGACGAATTCATCGATATTGCCTAGTTTCCAGTAAAAAGGGTCTCCGGTTCTTCACTTACCATACGAAACACAGCAGCATTAAGCTGCTATTTCACGCTAGTATTCTGTGATAGCGCGGTCCTACCCCGGTCGAGCCGTCGTATTTTCAACTTTTAACTGTAATTTACTGAAGGGTTATTTATGGTTACATCACAGAAAGAAAACTGAACTGACTGCAAATGGATCACCAGTTTTCTTGTTGATCGGACCATCAAGGTCGTAGTAGACGATGCATGCTCTGATTTCAAGCCTATCAACGCTGGTGTTTAACAATGCTGCGTGCTATCACCAACGCTGTTTCTCCTGCATATCAATGATATGTTGCAAGCTGGTAACATGCTATGTCGACGACAGCACTGGTGATGCATTATATACCGGCCGTGCAGATATTTCTCGGGAAAACGTCGTCGAGTACCGGGACAAACTTATGTCTGAAGTCGAATCTTTGCTGAACAGAGTCTCGGATTGACTAAATCTATGGGAAAACAAGGAAGGAAAAGAGTTTTCAGGCAGACATTTCATGTCTTCAAAATATTCCTTACTTTTCAAACATGCAAGTTTCCTCGTGACATCTTCACACGTGCAAATCAACTCTGAAAATTGTGTTGAATAATTTCGGCGGTGCTTAGGAGGATTTATCTTGTGCTCCTTGCAAGCTATTAATTTAACGTTTACGGCGAGTGATGAGTGATGAGCGATGATAATTACTTAATGTTCCTAGTAGATGTATATGCGTAAGCTTTTGTACATCTAAGAGTGAATTTTCAACAATACGTTCCGTCTTCGTCACCGACTTTAGAAGCTATTATGCGGTAATTAACTTTATTCTAATAAGTTCTTTGAATTTGGCTTTTAATTTTATTAGAAAATTTCAGTACACTAATCAAATCAAATTTAGCTCACCTGGTGTTGCTGTAACTGATATTATAATTTAAGGCGCAAATTTCCCACACATATGGCAGTGAACAAAAATGAAAATGTTTCGAAGACATGTAAATTTCGACAGTTGTACAGTTGCAAAAGTAACACAGATTCAGTGTGAACTGTCAAAATTTCTGCTTTTCCTGCTTCATTACCTTCTTAGAAATGAGAGATGCCTTGTTCCCTAGGACACATAATTAATTAAGTTGTCAAAATGAAGACACAGCTAATGATTAGCTTATGTTTAGCGTTACAGTTGGTGGATGTGGAGTGGATACATTAAAAGTGTGGTTTTTTGAATATGTGTGATCCATCACCTGCCTAAGGTTAGCTTTCTCATGCATTATCCATTACGTCTTTTATGACATATGAAATTTACGATTTTGGTGTAAACATTACTGTTTCTATAGACATGAAATTTATAGTTCGAAAATTTAACACGAATAAACGTCGAAAGTTTCAGTGCGCGCGTTCAAACTTCAATTTGAAATGTACACAGACGTGACAGAGGTGATCTCGGGAACTATCAGTGTTGGAATTTAAAGAAACGTTTGATTGGAGTACGAACAGATTGTGTGATCTATGTCTCAATGATAAACTGCTTGTTAAATAATTTATCAATTTCCGCGAATATCTTCCGAAATAATAAGGTGTTTAATTTCTTAACTTTTATTTACACGATATATATATATATATATATATATATATATATATATATATATGTTACGGCCTACGGCTGCTCCCTTAAAGGATCCAATCTTCAGGGGCCCATGAGCTGAAGATTTCCCGAACAGACGTAGGTCGGGCCTTAATGTGGCCACGTGGAATCTCTCCAATTACACTAAAATATATGGGGGAGCGTTATACTACGGCCAGTCGACCGGCAGGAATTTGGATGAAGCTTACTTACCTATCCAAGGCGACTGGTCCCTCCGGAGTCGGTCAGGTCGCATGTGGTTGTGTAGTGCAAAGAAAGAATGGTGATGTGGTGTGTATCTGGGTGTGACTGATGGTTATTGAACCTAGACCTCGGCCGTCGGCAGCAGCCCGAGCGTCGACACCGCTCCAACTTGAGGGCGCCTTTCGAGGTTGTCCACAGTCACTTTCTTCTTTCGTCACGATAACAGTCACTTAACTCTATCATACGATTTACTAACTTACAGAAGCCACTAACTATCGCTGGGTTGGTTACCGCACAAACGCACACGGAGTTTAAAGGGTCAAAGGTCACTACCGTTTCGCGAAGCAATAGTTAATTCTAGAATATCAGAGGCCGCACTATCTAATATTGCCGAATGCACTTATGCGGGTTTTGAGTCAGACACAATAAGTCCCGGGAAGCTCTCCAGTAGGAATGCGCGTCACAATGATAGACCGTAAATTTACTGGCCGCGCCTAATTATTCCGAGTTCCCTAACAGAATGGACCGCGTGCTCTCGTCAGCACCGATTAAAGACGACTGCCTGCCCTTGGGCGTTTTTCGCACGACCGAAAGTCAAACCGGTATGAATGCACCGCGCCGAGCGCCCTCTCGCGTCAATCCTTGAAAGTGGTTTGCGCGAACAAACCCCCGTCCCGGACATAAGGATTTAGGTCCGCGAGCAAACCGGTCAGCGGGACAAGGTCGCGAAGGCAAGTTGCAAGACCGACTCTACAACCAAACTAGGCCACCTTAGGCATCCCATCAGATCTTGCAACCCTAATCAGCGCCTCAAAAAATAGCCCTAACGTGGCAAGCCGGAGGGTCAGCCTCCACTGGATGCCCCTCCTGGGCATCGCAACACTTTAACAAGTCCTGTACTGGACAGAAGTCCGACGACCTCTTTCAAACACCTATCTGTGCCCATATGATTAGTTCCGCAATCCGACCGGATCAGCTCTGCAAACAGCGACGCGACACGAAGCGGCCCCGAGCGGCCTCCTAAGCTTCAGTGCAGAGAGCACCCACAAATTCCACATGAACGTCGTCTATGAAGAGCCGAACGAAACGCACAGATAGTCCCTAGTATGAATTTTCAACAAGTAGGCCTAGTCAGGCCACCCACCATATTATCATTTACTAAAATAGTGCGGCAGCTGATTTCAATCTGATAATCTCCAAAACTAGCTAGCCTGTTAGGCAAGTAGTCCTATGCTCATATTTCAACTAATTTTTCAAAAGCATCAATGTTCAACTACAGAATTAATTCAACCAAATTAATCACCGATGCGCATAGGTCAACTTGCAAATTAAACAAAACAACAACGTAAGGGACAGCCCTACTTCTTCGCAAAGCAAAATGATTAAACACTATCATAAACATAAACATAATTTTTCAAATAGTGCGCCATTCAATTTCCTTTCAGCAAACAGACGCAACAATCAAATACAGTGATTAAATATATGTACAAAACACATGCAGTAGCATTTAAAGGAGTAGATTAAATTCAATTCTTTTAATTTAAACCGCTACAAATAGGAAAATTTCGCGGAAAGCCCAAAGCAATTTTTAATTTTAATTCAAGTATTTTTTGACTAAGTGCTCGACCAACCCAAATCTAATACCCCTTGACAACGTGATTCAACGCTCCAGGGGGGCCCTAATCTTCCCACCACCAAGGGGAGGCCACATGGCGTGAACCCGAGATAAATAGAGCACAACCTTTAACAGTTGCCACTCGGGTTGTACGCCTTCACTGAGGCCGTCGGCAACAGAACATTTTGACAAGTGGACTGTTGACGGCTTAAGGCTCAGTGGAGGCGGCCGTGGTGGGAACTAAGGCAGCAGCTAGACAGGGCCGCCTCCATCAAATGGGGAACAGTGGTACACCAGTCGCGGCCACTCAGCTAACGGAAGTGAGAAGGGTCCAGCGGACCGATGAGTGGCCGTGAAGTTCCTCTCCACACGCTGAGGGGGGGTGATGACACCCCCGCCCCTGGGGGAACTACCCCCCGACTGGTCGGGGGAGGGACTCCTTTCAAACTTAGGGGCCTGGTGGTTGGCCGGCGGGCGCCGAGAGTCACCCTGCAGAGGGCGTGGCTGAGCGCCCCCGCCCGTGGGGGTCGAGGGCCTGGCAGAGCCCCGAGAGGAGATGCCGTTCGCACCCAGGCACAAAACGGCATGGTGATTGCCCTGGCAATGCAGACAGGGCCGTCGATGCGGACAGTCTCGCTGGAGGTGCCCTCCCAGACATGACCACCAGCGGCGCTCCTTGGCGATAGTTCGCCTCGCTGGAACCGGCTTACCTAATAATTTCGGGCACGACGTTACCCGATGATCAGACGCTCGACAATAGGAGCAGGGAGGGGTTGACGACGACTTGCCTGGAGGATTCAGCCTCTCACTGGGCACGGCTCGTAAGTCGTCAACGGTGCCCGCCGCGCTCTCTATCTGCCGGCACTGCTCCTCCAAAAACCGCAGCAGGTCATAGAAGGGCGGAATATAGGAGGCCTCGTCCCCGCCGTACCTCTCCTCAAAATAGATTCGCAGGTCGAGAGGTAGACGGGACAGCACGATGCGGAGCAACAAAAAAGCCCATTCGCCCACTGGTAAACCCAGCCGCCTCAATGTATTACAGGCCACCAAGACTGGATCCAACAGGTCCGGACGCAGTCTGGCCCGGTCACTAAGCAGCGGGAGGCTTAGAAGCTGCTTAACATGCTCGTCTGCAATTCGCCGGATGTTGGCGTATCTTCTGGCTAGGAGGTCCCGAGCAGTCTGGTAGGCGTCGTCCGACAATTTCAAGTGGCCGACGACGCCCAGGGCCTCCCCCTCCAGTGAGGCCAGGAGGTACGCCATCTTTTGTCTCGGGGTCAAGTCACTCCGGGCGTCCACTAGGCTGTCGAAAAGACCAACGAAGGTCAGCCATTCGGAAAGGACCCCGGAGAACTTTGGCAGGTCCAGAGTTGGGAGTCGTCCCAACAGCTCCGGCTGAAGCTGCTTCAGAGAGGACTCGGGCAGGTTACTCATCCGAGCTTCACGCGCCTCCTCGGCATACCTGCCTTCAGCCTCGGTCAACTCGTCCGTGAGCCACAAGAACTGCTCATAGTCCGCAAAGCAAGAGTCCAGGACTCCCTTCTCTACATCCGAATCCTCGAGCTCAGCGTAAGCCTCCTCCACGGCGGCCCTTCGAGCATCCACCTGCTCGAACCGCTTCATCAAGTTATGGACCCTATCCGGTCGACCTATCAAAGCATGGGCACTTGTGGCCCAGCGTAGCTCAGTCCGCAAACAACGGATCAGTAGCTTGGGCGATGTCATCACTATTAAATGCAAATTACGACGCGGCTTGAGCACAGATTACAAAAATAACAAACAAAAAATACAACAAAAATTAACAGTTAATAAATGCAGTTCCTATCAAATCGCGTTGAATAGAAATTACACAAATACGAATTACTACGTATCAACCAAATACAAGTTAGCACAATAGAAAAGACACAAATCAAATTGACAAATAACAAATACTAGTGCGATCAAATCAAGTTAAATTCAAATTGCGAAATACAATTACTACTCTTTAGTTCAAATACAAATTACAGTATAAACGAAGATACACATCACAGTCGATCAACAAAAAATGCCTAGCTCGGAAATCGACCCTTCGATAAGTAATCCACTACAACTATCCGACAACGATAATTAACCGATTACGTAAAAATAACCATCTATCTACATGACGTATATCTCTAGAAAAACTCCCGCTTGCGCAACCTAGGGCGCGGCTTTTCAAATTACCCTCTAACCAAAAAAAAGGCAAGCAACAAAGCAACAAAGGAAAATAATTCCATTATTACGTACAAAAAAATATTCCTACGTATTACGGACGGGCGTGATTGTAGATGCAAATTAAACCAATCACACCAACGCTCCCTGCCACCAAAATTGTTTAATGTTTATCAAACACTATAGTCGGGATCGACCGGGAATCGAACCCGGAATCGCGCTCTGCTACCAGTTTGTTACGGCCTACGGTTGATCCCTTAAAGGATCCAATCTTCAGGGGCCCATGAGCTGAAGATTTCCCGAACAGACGTAGGTCGGGCCTTAATGTGGCCACGTGGAATCTCTCCAATTACACTAAAATATAT